TATATATATATATATATTAGATTATTAACTATGAAATGTCTGATTACTCGGATTATTTTCATCTCGAAATCAGACATTTCATATTTATATATAATGACCTAATATTTAATTTATTATAAAATAATATACATTGTTATATATAATAAATTTATATAATATTTTATTTTATACATTTTATATATATATTTTTTTGTTCACAATTAAGTATACAATTTATTGATATAATTTCAAAGATTTTTTTTTAATTATTAGATTGAATTATTATTAAAATAATAAATATATTCATACTATTGAATTGTATTTTATTTAGAAATGGCGGTACTTACGGAGCATTCCAATCAAAGGATCCGATTTTATCTATAGAAAAAGGTGGAGAAATGATACATGGACCTGACGAACATGGAATGACTGTAGATCATCCTACTTCGTAAGTTATTATTTATTATTTACTCTTGTTCATATATATTTCAAAATTAATATGTAATAAACTTGTTTCTTTTCCTACTAACTCATTTACATACTCAATTATAAAAAATATAACATTTTATAACACAAGTTATTTTCTCATACAAATGTTTAACTCTATTAGCATATGTGTTCATTACTATCTGTATATTTATTTTTGTTTCATCTAATAATTTAATTAACACGCGTGAGTACTATTTAAAATAAAAACATTTCTAACCGGTTTTGTTAAACCATCAAGAAATATTTTATCAAGGTGTAAAAATTCTAAACATTCTTTTTTATTTATTTTCAATTACCAAAAATATATGGTAAAACTAGTATAATAATAAAATAAAAAATACTATATTAAATATTATATATAGTATACTTATAATAAAGTAAAATACTAGTTTTGATAACCATAAAGAAATATCTTATCAAGGGGTGTTAATATTCTAAGCACTTTTTTTATTTATTTTCAATTATCAAAATATATTGTAAAACCTACTAGTTTTATTAACCATAACATATCCTATCAAGGGTTATAAACATTCTAAACATATTTTTTATTTATTTTCAATTACCAAAAATATATGTAAAATTTGCTAGTTTTATTAACTATAAATCATTCAAGGTGTAATTCATTTATTTTTCATCAAGGTGTAAACATTCTAAACATTTTCTGCATCTCTTTCCAATTGTCAAGGATATTATACAGGAAAAGGAAAAAGAAAATTATACAGAATAATAGTTAATGTAACAGTATGCTAAATACATTTAAATATGAGTCACATTTAAACGATTTCTTCTTACACGTCTCGTGAAGTAAATATTCACTTTAAATATGCATCATCAAGAGATAAAATAACCGGAATGTAATAGTAAGCGTGGGAAGTGTAGAAAGGTGTGTTAAAACGATGATTAAAACTCGAGTAAAATTTTAACTGACCTAACATAAGTTAATTACATATAATATTACAAGTTACAGGAGGGTTCGGGGGCTTATAAAAAATACAAAAAAAAAGACCTCAACATTATTTAAAAAAAAAAAAATTATTACACACCCTGACCAAAACTTCAATTTGTCTCATGCGAAACTTGCAATTAATGGAGAGTGTGTGTGTGGGGGGGGGGAGTGAGAAAAGATGGACAAAAATCTTAACATTGTTTAAAAAATTATAACCTGTACAAAAATTCATTTTGTCTCATGTGAAACTTGACTGAATAATATTTGCAAAAAAAAAAAATGTGTGCACTTTATTCGACCGTTACAAAGATTGAATTTAATTCATTAATTAATTGCTTATCATTTTACCTAGCATAGGTTTTTTTTTTACATGAATTATTCATGAATGTTCGTGTGCACACACAAAGCAGCTCATTTCCTTAATTTACAGACTCGTGCAACTGATTGACGTTAATTTCAATGTGTCGCAAGTAACCTTCTAAAACCGTTTCAAATTTATTCTTATGTACTTATATATATATGTGTGTGTATGTATATGTATATACGTACGTAATTAACAAAAGTATTGTTTGTAAACAAATCGAGTAAATAGGACTCTGTTCTTTTTTTTTATTATTTCTTCCTACCTACTACCTTAGAATCACAAATGGTTAGTCAATTAACTAGAGATTCAAATTTAAATTGGACTTAAACAGAATTAAGGGACCACTTAACCCAAAATAGAGATAGTAGTGGTATTATAATAGTTAATAGTGTCTTGTGATTACTTCCGCTTTAAAAAAAAAAAAAACATTCTTTTGTGATCTATTTAATGGTTGTTTTGATCAATGCTCAATTTACTTTTCTTTTTTTTTGACTTTTATTATGTTGAATAAATTTAACCTTGGATTTAAAAAAAGAAATGTCGTGTTGAAAATTAATTGTGAAATTAATTAATTTGGGTATTTTGGTATAATTTTGTTATTTTTATTTCGTAGTTTTGATTTGTTGAAAAAAAAGTTAGGTTAATTATAAAATTAGGTTAGAATATTTGGTATTGTTGAAAATAATTACTATTAATTTATTTATTGTTTGTTAATTTTGATTTTGTGAAGTAAAAAATGGAATAAAATAAATTAATAGTAATATTAATAATAATATTAATAAAATAAATTAAAATATTGATTTTTTGAATGAAAATAATTCCATTATTATACTGCACAAATTGAATGCACGTATTGTTACGTATTAAAAAATCTTGTAAGGATAAAACAGTAGATAAATGATGAATTCTTTGAAGTATTTAAAAAAAAAAAAAAAAAAAAAATGTTGATTCTCGTAATAGTGTATAAATCATTTTTCTTTCCTTATTTTCAATTAAATTGTTCAAGGCGACCTACATACATGTGTATTTTTAATTTTNAAAATAAATTAATAGTAATATTAATAATAATATTAATAAAATAAATTAAAATATTGATTTTTTGAATGAAAATAATTCCATTATTATACTGCACATATTCCTATCAATCATTATTAAATATTATTTAATTATCTATACATAAAACAGAAGAAAAAAAAATATATATATATATATATATATAAATAAAAACAGAATATCTGTTGATTCTCGTAATAGTGTATAAATCATTTTTCTTTCCTTATTTTCAATTAAATTGTTCAAGGCGACCTACATACATGTGTATTTTTAATTTTTAAGATTATATCATATCCGTGAGTACAACATATTCGAGTATTTTTTTCCTTCTTTTTTTCTTCTTTTTTTTCTTTCTTTTTTCTAACTGTAATTAAAGAACCAGTGATGGGTTTATTACAATTACGTACAATTATTGTATCTATTTACTATGTTGGTTTATTCTTCAATGATATAATGAAACGAGAAATTAATTCACACATTTAAAAAAAAAAAAGAAAAAGTTGAAGAAGAAAATGAAAAAGAAAAATAAAAAATAAAAAAATATAAAAAAGAAATAAAAAAAAATGAGTTAAAAAAAAAATGAAAAAGAAAAAAAATGAAAGTAAAAAAATATAAAAAAGAAATGAGAAAGAAAATGAGTTTAAAAAAAATGAAAAAGAAAAAATGAAAAATAAAAAAGAAAGAAAAATATACAAACGTCATTTTGAAATTTTTATAAAAATAAAAAAGAAAATGAAAAGTTTTTTTCCGACAATAAAAATACAACTTTTATTATATTTTAAAAACATTAATAAAACTTTCCAGAAAAAATATTTAAAAAAAAGAACCATTATATTAAAAGTAATCAATTAAAAATCAACCAAAAATAATTAATATTGTGTTGTGTTTACATTAGATTCTTTTAATGTGTATTAAAAATATCACATTATAATGACAACAAATCTACAATTAGGTTTAGATTTTCTTATTACACGTGGACACAATTATCATTTCATGCGTAAACCACGTGCAAAATGTTGCTCAATTAAAATCTCAGTTCTCACCTTCTTAATGCGTCTAAGACAATATATCTTAATACCATTTTGTATCTTGTAATTATAGTATTATGCAACTAACTTAATCTATAGTTGAGTTGAATGAGTATTAACGTAAGATATATATGCGTACATATATTATATTATTTATCATAAAACATATATACATATATTTTTATTTTTTTTGTAAAAATACTTAAAGATATTTTTAAAAAGTTTCATAGATAATTTATAAAGTCATTTATATATAAATATAAATATATGGTATATATGTACATATTTAAATATATAAATAAATATATATTAAATTTATTATTTAAATTTAATTTTTATTATGTATATATATATATATTTAATGTAATAATATTATATAATTAATTATATATTTTATCAACTATTTATTAAATACTTGCTTACATATATGTCTATATATATATGTAATATATAATATTATATATAGAATTAATTAATAACATAAACATAATATAATAATAATAATAATATAATTATATAAATATATTAATTAATAATATAATGTAAATTATATTAATAATATATATTAATAATATTATTAATATTATAAAATACAATTATAACATAATAAAATTAATTAATATATTTATATATATAATATATTATTAATATTAATATATTATAATATATAATATATATATATATATATATATATATATATATATATAGATTATATATTGTATTTACAATATAATATATTATATTATATTTATTATCATATAATCCAACCCTTAAC